TTCTTTTTGCAAGCTGTCCGACCTCTTTCAATTTCTCAGGACTTGACGGAACTCTTACGAGCAGCTCTTCTTCGATGACTCTGTACGACCTGAGTGGTGTTGATGTTGCTGAGTCCTTATTTGACAACGGTAAGGGTCTCTTGCAGATCAAGACAAACCAAGATACGACTGACAAGGTGTTCACGTTTGTGTTGATGTTACGCAATCAGCAAGTTGCGAAAATGGCAAGTGGCATTCAGATTTCATCAAGATTTTACAGCAGTGCTCGAGATGCATATGTTTCCTGGCCACAGCGCGTACAAGCTCCCAAGATGAATGTTGAAGATCCTATGTACATCATTCAACCGCAGTTCAATCTTTCATTTGCACAAACCAATCCGTACCCTTGTGATTACAATATGATTTACCTCAAGTATTCTCTTAACGTGCCACTGTTTGTAGCTTGTAAACCAAAATTCTATCTAAGTGGATTGACTGGAAGTGCTACCTGGCAAGACGTTCTCGATCTCCAGACGCAGGATTCCACGACGGGAATATCAGCTGATGGCGAGACAAACTTTAACAATCAAATTTACTGGCACTATCCGAGTGGTGCTGTGAATTTCACAATATCCCAGGACGTTGGCAGTACAGTGCAGGTTGTTTTTCAACTCAAGAATGGAGTGAATGCACAAGTAAAGGCATTGACAGACTTTGCCGTCTCGTTGTTTTACACTGAAGCAGGACTGCCTGTCAATGAAAGCTTGGCCATTCAGTATGAGCAACAGTCCTTTACGCTGCTCGATCGCCTAACAGACACGTCTCATACAATGTCGACTTCCCAATCAAACTCGATATACATGCCAACCACTAGTGAATACATTCCCATGACAATTCGGTTGTTGACGTTCAACTCCTATTCTTTGATTCAAAGCTCATCACTTCCAACCTCTTTGAATACAATTACAGTCAGTTTCAACCTCAACGTAGACCTCTTTCCCTCTTGCTTCCCCACAATGGCATTGTACAATTTAATTGGAGCATGCAATACCAACGAGACGATGTACACCAACACTGTGCAACTGAGTGGTGATTCATCCAAGTTCATGAGTTTGCAAAATGTTACCGGCTATGCCGATTGGTATCAGAAGTCTGAGACTCTAAAGATGCATGCATGGAATGACAACTCTGTTACTATTCTTGCCAACACAACCTACACGTTCTCCTTCAATGTCAGAAATCCAGCTCAGGCGCAAGGAAGCCCCTCGGTGACCCTATGTGTGAACTTTCTTGATCAGATCAACACTGCTGCAACCTGTCAGGTCGATGTGCCAACAAGCAATGTAGAAACAAGTGTCCTTTACACACAAGGCCCCGTGTTCTTGGAGACCAGCGTCTCACAGACCACATCCTACCCCGGGCAGCTCAACTACGTCCAGATGAATCTCTCAGCAAATGTGGAGTTGAAGTATCCGGTCACGTTCACAATCTCAGGGTTTGCTGATGTCTCGGTATTTGACACCATGACGGCATGGATAGAAATGGGTTCTAACAACTACACGGCTGCGAGGTTTCCGGATCGTAACAATGGCAAGTTGGTCCTGATTGTAGAGAGCCAGGAATTCGCCATGCCTGCGTCTGAGTATTTCTTGATTCTCCTGCGTTTCCACAATCCTGGATGCGATGCTCCTAGTGCGCTGTGTGTACGAGCAAGTAACATCAAGAACTCCGTATGCAAGCTTGCGCACATTCCTCGCACCCCCTTGAAGATTATTGGAGATTCTCCACTTCATATCATGAACGCAAACTTGACCAATGGAAAGATCAACTCTTCCTCTGTATTCCCTTGCGACCACAACACCATCACTGTGCAGCTATCTACCAACTTCCCCTTGGTATCTGGCATTCATAAAATCACCATCTCTGGATTGCGAGGGAACATACCAATGGGCCCGATGTCTGGCGATGTCCCTGTTTCTAGTTCCGGAGATGTCCTTGAAGCAACCGGGCAGTGGAATCAGGACACTGGAATGCTTATAGTTGGTGTTCAAGGATCATGGGAGAAGGACACAGAATATACTCTCTCCTTCACCTTGATAAATCCATCATCTTCACAGGTACCATTTATTTCATGCTTGCTTGATTATGACTTTATTGTTTGCAGAGCTGTCTAGACACCTACGTTCAGATTGGACAAGTCTGCAACGCGAAACGGAAACTTGAGTCTCTGACGTCACCTGACTATCATGCTTCTTGCGGCCAGAGTTCGATTCAAGCTTGTCCGTTGTTTGTCCAGCAACCTGAAATCTCATTCTGGATTTCGCAGCTGACCGCCAGTCCATGTTGGAACAATACAGTCTCGATTCAGCTGGAGTCCAACGTTCCTCTTGGCTTGTGCACTTCCTTGGTCACAATCTCAGGACTTCCCGAGGGTTTATCAGCGGAGCAGAGCTACACCATTCAGACGCTGAATCAAGCCCTAGTCGTTGATGCTGCGAATGTGTTTCCAACATCGCCATGTACAAACTTCAGCATAAGCTTGAATTATGAGAATCTGCCTTACAACACATCAATGAGCGTGGTCAATGTCAACCTGTTGAATAGTTCTAATGGCTTCAGTGTATCAGCCGCTCGTGCCAACGACCTCTATGTGGACACAGTGGTCTTCACCAAGAAGAGCATCGGGCAATCAAACCCTTGGCCAGGGGCAAACAACACCATAACAGTGACTCTAGCATTCAACGTTCCCTTGCATTCCAACTGCACCTTGATCAAAATTTCAAATTTGATCGGCGCCTGCATTCTTGACACCAAGGTTGCGCTGCACTCCCAGGACTCGAGCATGTTCATGTCTCAAGCCCAAGAGCAAGGCTATGCGGACTGGAGCGCAAACGTTGTTGATGGAGTGTCACATGGAGCGATCACGTTGAGACCGTCGCAGACTCTCGATGCCTTCACTCAGTACGTGTTCTCATTCGACTTCGTGAACCCATCGCAGGCTCAGAACTCACCGAGCATTGGAATTCAGACCTACATCAATGGCTACTCGAACGACCTCATCCCGATGGATCCTGATTCAACTTCGACACCAGCCTCTGCCTGCACCACCTTGAGCAGCTGCAAGTTTGTTCAGGGTGATGCATTGCCTCTGCAAATCTACGCACCCATGTTCCTCGTCAAGAATATCACTCAAGACACCGCTTATCCCTTGGTTGAAAATCAGTTGTCTGTGATTCTCATGACAAATATTCCGTTGTCTGCTCAATCAAGAGTCACAATCACTGATTTGAAAACAAATGAGACTTCTTCGGGAGAGATTAGTTTAACAGGAACCGACGCCGGCAAGTTTGGGAGTGTAGGTTACTGGAACAATGAGTCTGATCGCATGACAGTAACAGTGACGGAGAGGATCGAAGCAGGACAGGTAGTCATGTTCACCTTCACGCTGAAGAATCCCAACTGCCCACAACCATCTCCAGGAGTTTGTATCAGGGCAAGCATGATCCGCAACCCTTGTGATGTGAATGCTGTCACAATTTACCGCCAGCCAATGGACAAGGATGTTGTGGCTTGCCTCGACTTTGCTGCAAGGTACAGTCAGACAGCTGACAATGCAACTTGCTCAGCATTACCACGACTTCCGATGCAGCAAGGATATGCTGCTCCACTCAAGATTTTGCCATCTGAGCTTCATGTCTTGTACCTGAACGGCTCTGTGATTGATAACTCCTTTGAGATAACGATGTCCTTCTACACAAATGTGCCAATTCTAAATGGATCTGCTTTAGTGGTGACTGGATTGCCCTACTTGAGCTCATCGCAAGCGATGGTAGAAATGCCATTCACAGGAAGTTGGATGGTTGACAAGGATTCCCTTGTCTTTACTTTGAGTGGCAACACTACTCCCGGAGTACCTTATTCAGCCAAGATAACGATCAGTCATGCAATTTGCTCATCGATGTACCTCAACATCACCCTTAGCATCACAAAGATGTGCTTTGCTCCTGTCACGAACTTAGTGGCTTTGCAGGTCCATACATGGTTGCTCCAATCAGTCTCTGTCAACCAATCGTCTGCAATGGCACTTGGTGAGAACATGATTTATTTCGAAGTCACTTTGAACGAGCCACTTATTCTGGGAATGAACCTTTTGATCAAAGGACTGCCAACGGAGTATTTGACTGGTGGCTATTCTCTACACAATGTTGGCGGTAATATCAACAGTGAGTTCATGCTCGAGTCAAACGTCATCAACATCAGTGCAACATCATCAACTGGCAACCAAGTCTATATGTTCTCATTCAAGGCCAAGAATCCGCTTTGTTGTCACTCATTCGCAAATATGACAGTTGAAATCGTCAGATGCCAAAAAATCCTTGACATGCAATACGCACATGTTCCAGAGAATGTGCTATACCGACCGTTCCAGACTTACTGTCCCTCTGTGCTCTATGGACCAATTCTATCTAACACTTCTAGATTGCCGTGCTCCGCTGAGAACTTCACAGTGAATGTATCTTTTACAGTACCCTTGTTTTCAGGTACAACCTTTCACTTGATTGGTCTTGAGAAGTTAAATTACACCGAACTCAGACTCAGCGGTCTCTCGTATGCCCCGTGCTCATCCTCGATGTATTGTGTGGAGCTGACAGAAGATATTGCACAAGAACAGGAAGTGATTGTTGAGCTGACGGCAATCACTGGAACTGAGTCGTCCTGGTGGACAAGCTCTGTGCAGCTGTTGGTGAATGGTACATGTCCTTTGCTCGATCATACAATCATCAAACCGGGACAAGTGTTCCCAGTTGTCGAGCCTCTCAAGCTAACAGTACAGAACATAGCTCAGCAGACATACTTGCCGGGAGCTTTCAACGAACTCACTGTCACTATCGCCACCAACTTTGCGGTCCCGCGAATGTACTGCCCCTCGCTGATGGTCTACATCAGCGGTTTGCAAGGAGCTTGCGTGCGAAATCCACCAACCTACACGAGCGAGGAGATCGCAAGCGCCAATTGGCAAGGAAATGGAGTCATTGAGATGGAGATTACAAAGCTCTTTGTGCTCAATACCTCTGATTTCGTTTTCTCGTTTGTGGTTCAAAATCCCGGGTTTGCACAAAAAGCGGCAGCTGTAAGCATCGAGGTGTCTGGAGGGTTGAATTTGCCGAGACAAAAGATGAACTTCGGCACAAGCGACCTGATGCTGTATCCTCTTGTGGTGACTGGTCCGACCTTTGTGACCTCTGAGATTGGTCAGTCCACAAGTTTCCCTTCATACAACAATCAGATCACTGTAACATTCAGCGCCAATATCAAGTTGACGGAGGGCTCCATCATCACCCTGTCTTCTCTAGGAAAGAATGTGACTGCTTCATGGATGCCTCTTGACACAGTGAATCTGACTGGCGACTCCTCATACTTCTCTGATAGCCCCGGTGGAAGCGATTCTAAAGGCATTCTGAACAGCCTCACGGAGACGCTCAAGCTGTTCGTTCTCAAACCCATCGATGCGTTCCAAACCATCGTGATCTCCTTCAACGTCACCAATCCGGGATGTTTCCGTCCTGCTGCTGATGTGTGTATTGCGGCCAGTAACATCTTGACAGAGAATTGTCCGCACAACGCAACGATCGAACGATCGCAGATCAAGGTTCGAAATGATCCATTCCTTACCCTCCGACCCGAGATCCTGAGCAGCACGATTGAACATTCGAACCCCTGGCCCTTACAGGCGAACACCATTACTTTGAATTTCAAACTGAATGTCGATGCAATGCAAACAGTGACAAACATTTCTATTCTCAGCCTTGAGCCTTTGGTGGGCATTCAAAGCATAAGCGATGTTCAGTCCAATCCTTCCTTGGGCACCCTAAATGCTCTCGTCACAGGAAACGCTTTCATCTTCACCACCACAGAGAGCATCATGCACGACACAGACTATCAGATATCATTCACCATCAACAACAGCTATTGTCAGGGCATGCTTCACAACTTGTCCCTTGCGATATCTGCTTTCCCTGGTTGTTCGCCATCCTTGCCAATTCAGCAAATCAAATTGAACAGCTGCAACTCAATGACATACCCATTCCAAGTTTTGGGAAGCACATGTTCTGGAATCAGCACGATGAACTTTACTCAAGCGCAGATTTCACAATCAAACTCAAAGCCAGGATGCAGCAACGAGATCACGCTGACCTTTCAGTCCATGCTCTCCTTGGCCGCGGACAAGACAGCTATCAAAGTGACCTTTACGCAAGACCTGCCTCTAAACAGTGACTTCACAATCTCTGGACCAAACGCATCTAACTTTGCTAACACCGCAACGTATTCATCACGAACGATTGAGTTAAAGGTCAAAGAGACGTTACAAGCTTGCTCTCCCGTCACAATCTCGTTTGCGTTTAACAACCCGATGACCTACACAATGCCTGGCAAGGTTTCCATCGAGGCTATCGGCACTGTGAGCAACGTCAATGAAGTGATTCTGCCTCCATATGCGATCTCACCATCTTCGGTTCTGACGATTGACCGGTGGAGGGTAGGAAAGAGTCTTATGTCTCAGAGTAGCCCATACCCAGGTGACCTCAACAACCTTACAGTCACCTTGTCGTTCGAAGGCAGTCTTAAGCAGAACAGTGTAGTGTACTTGTACGCCATCGATGGTGCAGACCATCAGGAAGGTACCGTCGAGCTGAACTGGATCAGCGCTGCGCCAGCTTTCGAAGCCACGTGGTACAACTGTCAGAAGGTCCTCAAGTTGACAGCCAACAGAGACGTGGTCTGCAGCGAAGTGCTGCAGTTCTCCTTCCAAATTCGCAACCCCTTGATGCCTCAGCTTCAGGCGATGGTGGACATGAACATCTCCGACCCTCAGGGAGTGATGCTTCTCAACAAGTCAGCTGTCTCTTGCGATTACTCTGCCCCGATGAGCATCAAGGCTGCTGTACAGGAAGACTACTGCCCGATGACCGTCTGGCCGGCCGTGTTCCTTACCAAGAAGGTTGCACAGTCCTCCTCAATCCCCTGCGACGAGAACCTCATCACCTTCTCGTTTGCTACCAACGTCCCCATCTTCCCAACAGTGAGTTATACTGCTGAAGCATACACCGCCGCCAAACTTGTGATTGAAGGATTTCCATTCAACAATCAATCGACGGTGCAGCTGGAAAACATACAAGCTTACAAATTCTGTGATGGCCAAGTATTGGAGACTATGCCTACGTTCTTTGATTCTACTTCTGTACAAGTAGTTCAGGGCTCTGTGACCTTAATTTTGAATCCGGCGACTAATCCCAACATTACGAGCTACAACTTGGGAATGGAAGATGTGGTGATCTCGTTCAGCTTTAAGGTCAAGAATCCTTTACCTTTCTCGCATGATTCGACGTCTGGAGTCTTTGCTTCAATCATTATGGTCGGAAACAATCCATTCACCATGATTGAAAGGACTATGCTGTACGTTGAAACTATGAATGGCCTAATTCCTTATGTCTCATCTCCTCAATTCACAGTTCGAAGTGTTTCCCAGAACAGCTCGGTGCCTTGCGATGACAACACAATTACCATTTCTCTGCAGATGGATCAGAACATTCTGAAGTGCTCAACAGATGCCGAGTTGATCATCAGCTCGCTCGAGGTTGATCTTCCAGCTCAGCCAGCCATAGTCAGCTCAAGTTCGTACATCGCCAACAGCGGTCTTTGGAACAGCATGACGAGATCGCTGACAGTGAGCATCACCGAGTCATGGACTGCAAGTCAAACTCTTGTGTTCTCAGTCTCAACGGTCAACCCTCATTATCCACAGAGCAATGTGAGTCAACCCATGGTGACCATCAAAGATTATACCGCCTTCCCTACCGCTCTACAGTCGCCCGACGGCATTTACCCCACCTCAGTCGCCATTCCTGGCATCGTCCTGTCCAACATCGTGCAGTCAACCTCCATCCCTGGAGCACAGAACATGCTGACCGTGACTCTGATGTCAAATCTGACCATCTCTAACAAGTGCGGAACCATCCTGACGATCTCTGGGTTGTCAGGTATCTGTCCCTCCTCAGTGATTGATCTTTCTGGCAACGGGTCCTCAATCTTCGGTGGCAAAGCACACTGGATGAATGCTTCAAATGCTGTGACCATGACAATCAGTGAGAGCATGATGGCGAATGTGATCTACCAGATCTCCTTCACAGTCCTCAACCCAAGCACTCCACAGCCATCTCCACGCATCTTGCTTCAGTACTTCTTGTATCAACCTATCACACAAAACATGACCAAGGTGATGACATCAGCTGGAGCCGCTCTAGAGATCACTGGAAACCTCAAATTCAATGTGGCGACTGTCACTCAAACCGAGGCGGCAGCAGGCAGCACGAACAAGATTACCTTCACTTTCCAGACGAACGTGCCCCTCTACTCAATGGCCAGCTTGACCATCTCCGGGCTGAAATCAGACCATGCCTTGGAGTCTGTCCAGTATCAGGCCCCTTTGAACGGAGAGTTCAACTCCCAGGCTGGGCTGCTGGTGCTCAACATCAGCTCTTCGCTGTCCGAGGGTGTGAACTACACTGTTAGCTTCAACATGGTCAACCCGAGACAAGCGAGACTGCCGCAGAGAGTGTTCATTGAGTCTGGCGGAGTCATCCTGCCAAAGGTCGAGATGACACCTGCGACAGGGGACCTTGCTCCTTTCGTGGTGCTGCCTCCCTACTTCAACACCTCCTCGGCTTCTCAGAACGTTCACAACTCGTCGACTAAGCCTGGGCAGCTCAACTCGCTGTCCCTGTCGTTCTCCGCGTCGGTCAAGTTGATTGCTAACGAGAGCGTCTGGTTCTCTGTCACAAACCTGCATGGCGTGAAGCTTGCATCGCAAGTCGCCGATTCAGTGTCAGGCCCCAGCATGGACAAGTTCTCTAAGTGGATCTGGAACTCGACGAACAGTACACTTTCCTTCCAGCTGGGTCAAGACTTGAATGCCTTCGAGGTGTTGGACTTCAGCCTGCAGCTCACCAACGGAGTCTACGGGCAGGACGGGCAGCAGCTTTACCTCCAAGTGTTCTCATATGGGTCTGGAGTGTTCATCCCTTACACCCCCTTGCAGTCTGATCCGAACCTGCTGCTCATCGAGTCTTCCGTCTCCTTCCTCGAGAAGAGTATCGGGCAGAGCTCATGGCTCCCTGGAGCCACCAACACCTTGTCGGTGACTCTCAAGCCAGAGTTCCCGCTCAAGCAAGGAGACTCAGTCACTGTACACGGGCTGCTGGGATTTCAAAGAAATGACGGCATCCTGACCCTTCTAAATGCTGGCCCTGGCTTTGAGCCGAATGCAACCTGGTCAAGATCTGCTGGCAGAGTGATTCTGACGGTGGCTGAGAATTCAGAGATCTCAAACACCACTGAAGTGAGCTTTGACCTTCAAAACCCCCTCTACCCGCATGCCTGCCTTGAGAACATTCAGATCTCTGCGACATCCAACGTACCTTACCTGAAGGCTCCAATGAGCACAGGGCCGGACAAGAGCTGCCCGCTCTACATTGTTGCTGCTGGTTTCTCGAACCTGTCCATCTCTTCATCTTCCATCGTTGCGGACACCACTAACGACGTCTCGATCATGTTTCAAACCAACATGAACATCTTTGCTTACTCAAGCACGACCATCTCCGTCCAGGGGCTCATCGGGACAGCAACTCCTTCCCAGGATTTCATCCCAGTAACTGTCGATCCAGTGTCGCTGGGTAAAGACTTTGCGCCTCAAGCAGAGCTGATTGAGGTGGGCTTTGCTCCTTCATGCACGCTATCCAACCAGCAAGTGGTGCTGACCAACTTGAACGGCAACGGAACTCTCAAGGGCGCCAACATGTACTTCACTTGCCAGAAGCAGACTCCCATTCAGATTTCCGCCTACGATTGGGCTTCCAAGTGCGCTAACTTGTCTTCTCTGCCGTCTTGCACTCTGGGTCAGGTTGAGTACGTCACTGTTGTGGATGGAGGCCTTGGATACCTTTCAGGGCCCTTCGAGGTGGCATCTGGTTCCCAGGTGTCAGGCTTGTCAGGAAACTGCACAGTCAACACGGCAGGAGCCATCACAGGCATCGTCATCATCACCAAGGGTCAAGGCTTCTCTCCTGGTGACAAGATCGTCTGTCCGGGCAACAACATCACTCGCCCAGCTGTATTCCAGTACACGACCAGCAACGACACGGCCTCCGTGTCGGCCGCCAAGTGGAACCAAGACTTTGGCCGTCTGGAGCTCAACTATCTCGGAGAGGCGTTGGAGGAAAGCATGCAGTACAAGTTCTCTGTAAGCTTGTTGAACGGGATCAGGCCGCAAGCTGCTCAGACGGCATCCATCTCCATCCAGTCTCCTGTGCCTTTCGGTACTCAAACGTTCCAGCAAAAGGCCATGGAGATCCTTCAGTTTGCGTCGGTTTACACAAGAGCGTCGACAGCAGCACCCAACACAGCAGAGAGCACGCAGGTGTTGTTCAAGGGGATGCAGTGCCAGCAGTCGTCAGTCTACCTCATCTCTGCCGACGTTCAGTGCAACACTCCCATCTCTACCTTATCCCTCATGATGAATGGTGAGACCACCACCGTCAACAACCCCCTCCAGAGTTGCTCCACCTACTGCACCCAGTATGCTAGGGTGGTCGACCGCAAGCAGTACTCGTACGGGTCTCTGAACCTGGACACAGCTGCCTTCTATGGCATTCTCAACACCACGCAAGCATCGGAAAGTATGGTTGACGTGTGTGGAAACAAAGAGCGATTGAAGATTATCTTCACATTAGAGTGTTAGATGTGATGTTTTGATGTAAAGAACTCCTAAGTTCCATTTGAGTATTTTGAATAAATTAAAGCAGATACTTGATTTCTGCTCCTGCTCTCGCTCCCTTGCCTCAACCCCTCCTCTCAATGCTCCTCCTGCCGCAGATCTTTCGCTCTCGTCAAGTATCGTAACTTAACAGTCTCGAGTGAGTGTCAAGTAACAAGCCAAGAACATGTCACCTTCCAATAGACTCCACTGCCCCAATGCCCTCAAACCCCAGGACCTGTGGGAGACTTTCAGCTACTGGGCACACTAGCACATGCTCTCAACGTTCTCGGCGAACGTGCTTGCCATGAAGTCTTCTCGCCTGCTTCGAGGTGAGCTTGCGACCAACAGCAACTTTGACGTTACCCGCTCAGACTCGATCCTGTCAGTCGGGCGATCGCTGTTTGTATCTCGCTCTCCGACAGAGATTCTCCCATCCGCATCAACATCATTCGCAGCTGCTCCCATTTCAGGATCCCTGTCACTGGCTCTGCTCCGAGGTGATGGAAGGCCTGGTATGTAGACATGAGGGAGGAGGAGGGTGGCAGTATCAAACCACCTGCTGAATCTCTTCCAGGCTGACATCGTTGACAGGCTTGTGATTGACAAACAATTTGATCTGATAGAAACTCAGGGCTGACAACAGCAAGAGTCCTTCCAAACCAAGTCTGAGAAGGTTACAGAATCCTTTCCCTTCCTTCTGACTTCATGAACCATATCGCGGATCTCGAACTTGGAGGGATAATACCCAAATGCCTGAAGGACTGGTGAGAGAAAAGGGAAGAGTCCTGGTCAATCTTAACCTGCATCAACTCTGGTACGGCTTCGACGGGGGCCAGCCCTGTAACTTTCCTCTCTTCGGTCGTGTCCTCTCCCTATCACTTCACGTAAGTCACACCAACGCCGAGAGAGGAGCGGGACCTGAGCTCTTAGCTGAGCCAGGTAGAAATAATCCAGCATCTCGTCGTACAGCTCTCCCCCTTTCCCCCCCGGGATCAACGCTTCAAACGGCTCGATCCCCGACCCCCCCAGCGCTGCCGATGCCTCTAAGGCGGAGGGGTCCACCTCCCACAAAAAGATCCCACAGTCTGACCCTCCTGTTGTCAGCACCAGCTTCCCATCATGTGACGCGCACATCTCCGCCACCTCCCCAGCATGCGCTATCAGCCCCATGCTGCAGTTGGGGTTCCCGTCCAGTGGCAGCTTGATGAGCCCGACGACCTTGTGAGGGGTCGCGTAGACGACATACTGCTTGCCCTGCTCGTCGGGCGGGAGAGTGAGGAGACGATGAGGGGGAGGGCCGAAGGTTGGGCCCAAGAGAGTCTGCAGGCAGTGCGAATCTTGTTCCTCGAGCGGTCGATTGTCATGCACGCCGGTCAGACCGATGATATCCAACACCTGCAGCGAGTGAAAGTGAGAGGAGGAGGAGAAACGAAAGGAGTACGAGGAAAAGGAGGAGGGAGAGGAGGAGGGAGGGGAGGAGACCTTGAGTTTGCTTTCACTGTTAGCTGATACCAGGAAGATCTTGTTGGGATCTTCTCCTTGCTGACATCCAGGTGGGAGCTGATAAGCTCAAGTCAGTTTAGCAGCTTTTGCTTCATCTTCTCACCTGTAGGAGGGCTGTGGGCACCGCCGTCTCCTCAATCGTGATCGCACATCGAACGACGACACCTTAGACGAGTGAGGAAGGAGAAGGAGGGAGGGGAAGGAGAGCGACGATGACTTAAAAAAGGAGACAGGGGGGGTGGGGGGGGCGGAGAAAAGGTGGGAGGTGGTTGAAGGAGATGAGATCAGGACCTGTGGCTGCCATCGAGCTGGACAAGTCATACTCCACTATCACTCTGTCCTGCGCGAGGGAAACTAGCCGAATGATCCCAGCAGCCTTGTCAAGGATGAACTGTAGCCCTACGATCCTGCCGTGATGAGACCTGCCGGTACAGTCACGCAAGGCAGGCGAACTCTCCCGTCTTCACCTGTATCTTCCCACGTACAGCCATGGCACCTCCTTGCCGCTCTCGAGCACCTGCAAGAGGGTGAGGTAGAGCTGGAGAGACGTCGACTTACATTTCTCTCTCTGCGGAAGATCCCAACGCAGTTGTGGGCATCTGCAACCGCCACGTGCATGCCATCGGGAGCGAACTGAACCGACGTGATCTCGCAGTCAATCTGGTGGGAAGGGATGAGGAGAGGAAGCCGCGCGAGGTTGATCCACTTCACCTGAGACATGCGCTGGATGAGCTCGAGGTCCGAGACCCCGATGATCAGCACGGAGCCGTCGGTGCATCCGATGACTAGCTCCTGCCCGTTGGGGTTGACGCAGATGCAGGTGGGAGTTCTCTTCTCCAGCACTTTCTGCTGAAGCCAAGCTTGAGACTCGAAGTCCAGCACTCGCAGCATCCCGCTCGTGGTCACCACGAAGAGCTTGGAGGAAGAGGGATAGGCGCACATAGCGGAGATGGGGGACTCAAAGCCCTGGACGAGAACCTCTCCCTTTCTCTCCTCCTTGGAGTACTGCTCGAAGATAGCTGCGTTCACCAACGCAATCTTGCCTGCCTTGGTGGCCACAATGAAGTTTGGGATGCGAACCTCGCCCTCCAGGTAGCCTCCATCCTTAGGAGTCGCGCGGGGAGATGTGAAGGTGAGCGACGCGATGGGTCCGACGTCGAGGTCTTCGTACCAAGCAAGGAGGCGGAACTTGAGGTCATAGAAGCGCACGAAGCCGTCGGCGCCTGCGGTGACGAGGAAGCTGTCGAAGACGGAGATGAAGGTGATGGCGTGACCATCGTGAAGCTTGAGCAGCTTGACGGCACATCGGTCCGAGGGCCTCGCGTCAAGAGCAGGGAGAAGAACTTGATCCCAGAGAAGGAGGTCACCGTCCTCTGTCGCCGAGACAGCCTGGTTGGAGAAGGGGATGAAGACACTCTGTGTGAACTTGCCGACAGGGGATGAGAACTCCTTGGAGGACAGGGCAGGCGAGTAGAACTTCAACTTGTCGTCTGTGGAAGAAAGTCACAGGAAGACGAGGAGGGAAACAGAGTGGCAGGAGGAGGAGGAGGAGGAGGAGGAGGAGGAGGAGGAGGAGGAGGAGGAGGAGGAGGAGTTTAGAAACCAGTTCTACCTTCCCAGCTCCAAAAGATCACTCTCTGCGATCCATTCGTCATGATTTCTCTCACGTCATCGCGGCGGAATTTGACGCATGTCTGCAAGTCCCGGCTGATGACGTCATGCTGAGCCGCTGGAGTCTCTTCGGGGCTAGTCCATCTCCACACCGCAATCGTCTGCTTCGGACCTGCTCCTATGGAGGCGATGTACTTGGCATCCGGCGTCATGTCCAAGTCAACCACACCCCCTATGTGAGGGTCGAAGATGGATCGGACAGGCACCCCAGTCCGAGCGTTCCACACGATGATCATGGCGTCTTTCTCGCCCATGTCGCCTGTCGCCAGCCACTTCTTGTCATCGCTCGTCGCCGCGCATGTGATGGTATTGGTGTGTCCTTGGAGTAGGCGCTGCTGTCGCATCTCGTAGTCAAAGATCACTCCTGTATGTCCAATAGCATAGAACATAGCTAGATGCCCCTCGGCTGTCAGGTCGACCAGCACCATCGACTGAAAGACATGTCAACTAGTTGCATCTCCAAGGAAGCGTCTCCACTACCTCAAGATTGAAGCCGAAGGTCCACCTGAGGTTCATCGCGTTCCGGTCCACCATCTGACACAGAGGTCATCAACCTATGTTTGGCTCACTCGCCTGAGTTTCCCTCTGATACGTTTGAACAGATTCATCTTGACCTCAAATCTCCATCCATGGCTAATGCTCACTATCCACATAATTTCTCTGGTTTCTGCCTGACACTTTCGCTTGCTAGCTTTTTCTTTCCAACCTCTTTCGGCTGCATGCTGAGGACCTACTTTTGTAATGCCCCTCCTCGCTCATCCCGTATCATCAGGTCTCACCCCTTGTTCCCCAATGCTTTGTCTCGACATCGTCTGCTCTCATGCACAACGTTTGTTGTCCCATGTCCTCACCTGATATCCTCGTCTCCCTTCCTGTCTCTCCTCCAACTTCCATCCTCTGTCCCTCTCTTCTCTCTCTGTCCCTCGTTCCTCCTTCTATCCTCCCTCCTCTTCCTCTTTCTCCTCGCTCTCCTTCTCCCTCCTCTCTGTCTCTGTCTCTGTCTCTTCTCTCCCTCTTCCCCCCCCCCCCCCC